TGAGAAAAATGATCTCGTCAGGTGGCGCCAGGGTCGAAATATTTCAAAAAACCGTATTTATGGCCGGATTTGGTGCAAAATTAGCGTATGTAGTTGAAACATAATAAGTCATAGATTTCCAAAAACTGTACCTCGAATTGGCGCTGAAGTAAAAATATAAAGTATATTCGACATAACATTCATGTTTTATTTGCGTCAAAAAATCGTTTAAAAGCAATCTTAACAAAAATATCACGATGGAAAAAAACTGCTGTGCGACAGTGATTAAAATTAAATTTAAAGAAAGTATAAATAATTTGTGGGTAAAATCCAAACCATTTATAAGAAACATCAATCCACAACATTCTTAAACTAGTCACATTGAAATATTTTCTCAGGTTTCGCTGAAATCGACATTTGAATTGTTGGCCACGAAAAACACTTCTGTTTTTGTTTCGCGCGAATGCCCCTTGGTTTTTTGTAATTATCTTGCAAACGGAAAATTGGTCAAAATCAACTTTAGCACCAATTATAGGGATAATTAAGAACTATAAGTTAAGCCTTTTGTCAAAATAAAAAAGGTTTTAGATTACGTTTTTTTTTTTTCAGTTTGAATGTGTACAATGGGTCACGCTCGACATAATGGAAATACCCATATGTAACGTAATCGTACAGTGCTCTGGCATGTATGTATGTATGTACAACAGAGCGTATACTTTACGTATGCACTTGAACGAACTAACTATATACATACATATGTAGATATATGCGCATAAGAATGCATTTACGTCTTTGATTTGGTATTTGGTCAAATGTAAGACATCGCTACGACGAATTTTCATTCCATTTCGATGGCAATAAAATTTGTTTTATTTATACATATTTCTATAGCACTGGACTAACAAGAATGCAGCTGGGATTACGACTAAGAAAAAAATCCATCTATAAATAAATATATAAACTAAATCAAGCACGAAACGACAAGATAATAGTGTCAATTGCCGTAAAGAACATTCAATTTGCGTGTATGTATGTACATTAGTGTGGTCCAAAAATGCATGTGAGAAAGTAATGTCGGAATTTGTATGCTCTCACCCCCTAGGATTGTTCTATACCGAAAAATATATACCCCTATTTTTTATTTTAAAATTAAAAAAATATTTAGAGGTCGCTCAAAGGTGTCCATGCATTTTATATGGGGAAAAAACAACTTTTCGTAGAAGTGGTATAGAATTCTTGGAAATCAATATTTTTCAATCGGAAAACTCCGTTTTTCTTCAGGAGATTCCAATAATAACACCCAATTAGTAATTAACCGTTTTTGCATAGTAACAATATTTTATAGCTTCGCCAAAACCCCCAGAAATTGCCAGAAAATTAAATGGGTAATAAATAAAAAATATTTAATATTAAAAAATGGTTAAATAAACAATTGGGTGTTGTTATGGGAAGTCTCCTAAAGAGAACTATAGTTTTTCAAGAATTCTATACCATTTCTACAAAAAGTTGTTTTTTCTCATATAAAATACATGGAGAACTTTGAGCGTTTTGAGGGACCACGAAATATTTTTTTTGATTTCAAAATAAAAAAAAATGAGGGTATTTTTTTTATAGAGCAATGCAAGGGTGGTGAGAGCATTGAAATACCGACTTTACTTATTTTGGACCACCCTAACGTACATACATATGTAAGTATACGCATGTGTATTTCCTTTGATTTCTAAATGCCTCTGCATTCTAGTGATCGGTGCATCGAACGACCCAAATCTTCTCGAATTCACAGCAACTGACTAACACCCGATTTTTTACACTCATTTAAATTACACTCTAAGTAATCCCATGAATCACATATGTATTTAAATACATACATATATATGTATTTGTGTTTGTGCACAGGTGGGTATATAGTTGTTTTGTGAGAACTTCGAAGTTAAATGCAACGGATATGCAGTTGTTGTTTCTTAATTTATGAAAACAACGAAAAATTTCGGTGCATCCTTGTCTTATCAGAAATAAAATTAAAAACCAAATAGATTGCTACGTAGCAACTTTACACCTGAAATGCTACTTAACATGAGCTCCTCTATTATATGTAAATGTGAAAGTTTGTATGTTTGAATGTTTGGGGTTACATCACGACTGAACGGATTTCCATAGATTTTCGGACACAGATGGTTTATGACCTAGATTGGAAAATAGGCTACTTTTAAGAGTTGCCACCTGTTAAAAAATGTAAATTAAATTAATAAGTTCATAAAATATGACAGACAGGTGTCAAGGGTAACAAATTTGTGATGTTACTATAAAGATACTGTTTCAGGGAAAACAGTGTGGAAAAAATTTCCAAAATTAATGTTTGTCCCGTATTCGGCTCTCATAAATATGGTCACCGTAACCATAGGTATACTTGTACATACATATGTATGAAGTTAAGACCAAGTGTAAGCTCCAGCCTACCGAAAATGAGGTCTTCAGCATTAAGCCGAGATTTTGATGGTTAATTAAAAATTCTGAGTATGCTGTTGTAATCCACATACTCGACTAGGCTAACTACTCGCTCAAACCTTAAAAAGTTTATTAAAATCGTTCTAATTTCACTTTGATCGCGTTGATTTTAAATAGTTTTTTTGTTTTCTTTCATAGAAAAAAATTGTCCATCATACAAACATACTTTGTATGGAAATAAATCTGTGGAAAATTGCTAAAAATCAACTTAAAACTTAAAAGTTTTTCCTAGAAATTCTTATTAAAAAATTTGCAATTTAGATAAAACTGTGGAAAATATTCATAATTTTTGCACAAAGTTTAAAAATTGGGTTTACATGGTTACAAAAAAAAAATAATAAACATTAAATAATGAAAAGCAAAATAGCCAATACTTAATAAAATGTCGTGTCCCTATTTTTTCCACCACTTTACTTGTGGATATTTAAATTTGATCTCAAGAACAAAGCCTTTAAGTTTTATATTATGGATTTGTTATATTTTTGTAACAATTATATATGTACCTACTTTAGCATTAAGAAATTGAACCACTTGAACCGAACCGAACCGAACCGCGGTTCGGGGATACCCGTGAACCGGTTCTTGTACCGGCACACAAGCTTTTTCTAGGTGGTTCGAACCACTGAACCGAAGCGCACCGATTTTTGGAGTGGTTTATCGAATTCTCTTTATACCTTAAACACTTTAGTGAACACACTCATATGCAATTATGTACATTTTAGCTCTGATCCAGTACTCCATGAACTTACAGGATTTTACACGAACTTGCAGGAAGTTTCAGGAAAAATGTTCCCGTACTCCAAAATCCTGTAAATGAGAGCGACTTTTGGAGAGTTGTGTAGAGAATGAAGTTGCAAGATTTTACCCGAACTTTTTCTTCTGGTAAAATCGTGAAAAGTGTCAAGCAATCACTGGTTGACGTTTTTACAGGAAAAATGGTTATTTTGTTACCGTACTTTTTGTTGTTACTCTCTTTTTACTCTCACTTCAGAGAGGAATTTTGCTGTTTGAAAGTTTTACAGGATTTTTCACGAAAAGTATTGGATCAGAGCTTTTTATGTAGAGTCTTTATCGAACTCCTTGGCGTTGGTCTATTATAAACAACCGTTATGTAAACAAAGTACTACTATTTATTACACTAGTGAGCTCGGTTATTCAAAAAGTTTATTTTTCTTGTGTGTTATTTGATTCTCTAAGTAATACATGTGTTGTATGCGCATTAGGGTGGCCCAGAAGTGGTTTTTTTTTGCAAGTAGATTTATATGCCATTTTACACATTTTTTTTTTATCTTGCATACATAATTACAGCGGATTTCTACCCTAGCAACAACTCTCTTTTTCCGCCAGTAGTGTGACGAATAATTTGTATCGACTAATAAATAAATAAACTGCGGTTACAAAATAAAAAGCGGTTCAAAGAACTGCGTCTACTTAGTTTGCTGCAGATGGACACGGGCCGCCTCTAAGCCGCTCACTAAATCCGAAGGCGATATTCTGAGGGGGGAGTCAATAATTCTGGGCTCGAATCGTAACAGTCGTGAACTAGCAACTCGTCACGTAAATATTCGTATTTCTGATTATAACAGTCGTGAACGTACTACTCGCCTCGTATAACAGGATCATAACCCTTACTACGGTTAAGTGGCTCATGTCTCTAGTCCTTCTCTAATTCATATGAAATCCTTACTATTTACTTTAGCAATCCTTGCTACTTACTTTGGTAAGGATTGGCCATGGATTACACAACGATTAGAGACATGAGCCACTTAACAGTAGTAAGGGCAATCGTTTGTTGAATTTTGAATTGCGTCTTTATTGACGAGGACCAGCGATATGTATATATTTGGGTAGTACTCCATAATCAAAAACTTACAGCCCTATTGCGAGTGTTGACTAGTAGCAGATAAACGACTATTACTCAATTATCGATTATACATGGTATTTTCAATGTCGTTTCCTCCTTCAATAAGTAAGTGTGAATGGTGTTTAGTCGCTCATCCTTCTAAAAACAAAAAGCTGTAGAGGGTTGAGCGACTAAAAGCTATTCACAGTCGCCTATTGAACGATAAATCGACATTCCCAATACCATGGAAAAGCGATAATCGATATTTTGCTTATAATATTTTGAACAAAAGGAGAGTATAAAAACCCCGTATATTCTTGGGCACCCTAATGTACATATCGTCACCTGAAATGCAAAAGGACGTAACAAAACATCGCAACTGATATGGAAAAAGTCATGACTAATATTTTTTTTCAGAAAATGATGTGGAGAGTTGTAATTCGATGAAATTCATCATATAAATCTAAAAGTGAATTTCGAATTTTTTATTACTTATGACTTTTTGCATTTCAGCGATGAAGTTTGTTACGTCTTTTTGCATTTCGGGTGACGATATGAATTGTTTTGTCGACCCTTAAAACTTAAGTCACTGATTGACTTATGGGGTAAACACACATACATATGTATATATGTATGCATTACTAAAGTGTTGAGCCTCTCTTTTATAACTCACCTCGGGCGAAGCTGGTGGTGATAACGGCGTTGAGTTCACCTCAGCTGGATCATCTATGAAGTGTACGTGCTTTTTGGTACTATTACGGCGACTGGTACTTGTGATAAGCGAACTTTTCCTGCGACCACCGACATAGCGATCGAAAATTTCGCCGTCTTTTATATAGTCCGGCACGCGCCAAAATGCAGGACGTTGATACGATGTGCTCATTTTGCCAACGACTGGCCAAAGAATCGACCGGACGGACGACTCACCTTCAATTCGACCGACACAGAGGCAACGAAATGAAATTTTATAAACAAATTTTAGACGTTTTCGCAGAGAGTGAGCGAACTCCAAGAAATTAATAATTGAGAAATTGGAAAAGATCGCGCAAAAGCAAAAGAAAATCATTACAACTATGTATGTTAATATGTATGTATGTATATATATATTATAAATTTAAGTATATACATATGTACTTAGCAAATGGTTTATGTATATATGTACATACTTAAATATGTATTCATGCGTATGTTTGTACATCCATCCATGAAACTGAAAAAAATCGCATTTTTTTTTTGTTGTGAATATACATACATACGCAAACATACATAAGATGCATACATACTCAGCCATATAAAAGTATGTACATATATGTATGTATGTATGTACATATCGTTGCCTTAATGTTAAAAGGCCCTAACTCATTTTCTTTTGAAATCCAGCTTTGTAGAAAAGTAGGCAGGTTATTGACTAACCATCTAATAAAATTTAAAAATAACTACCGCAGTAATAAACTAGATCCAGCCGTCAATAAAAAACAGCAGGTTTTAAATATAATTCGCAACTAAAGAACTTTACTTTTTATAAAATTAAAAAATTACTATGCGATGGGGCTTTTCTATATTAAGGTAAGGTATCTACATAAATATGTACATATATTCATACTTAAATGTGGTGTGTTGCTCTTACGATCTAGAAGTTGGTGAGTGGGCGGAATCCACATTTAGAACCAATTGATTTCTTCGTTTCAACAATAGTATTCTAAAAAAACGACAATTAACCATAAACCATCTGTTCATTTCACTTCATCATGGTAAATCGTTCATCCGATGATTAAGGCATTTCAAGTGAAAGACTGCACTTGCTGCCCTCGCAATACCGTCATCTGCACTTGTGCCTTCAAAATTTCGTACAATTTTTTTCCACCTTGCCAGTGGCTTTTGCTACACTACTTAAAAATAAAAATTCATAATTCTGCGATCTGATGTTTAAAGGATGTTGAACCCTAACTGATGAAAATTAATGAAATGGCTAAAATATTTCTGCTCCATATTGCATTTTGAAAGTAAAAGGTCTTTAGCGCCGCCGCGGTAGTGAATGGAAAATGTGGCATTTCTCTCCGCCCCTCTCTTGCCCCAAAATTTTAATATCGAGATATAATTGTCAAACCGAGCTACGAGGCATTTTAAGATTAGGACGAAGACACTATTGATGCTGTTCTTTCCAGCATAATACGTATGTGTGTATGTACATATATAAATTATACGGTATGAAAAGAAACAGAAACAAATAAAGAGAAAATATCGCACGCGTAATTTATTTATTATTTAGGGGTTAAATACATGGACCCACTAGCAGGTAAATAAAACAGTATACTAGAATTCAAAATTCATATTTCTTACAATCAGCAACAATTTAATATCATCACTTCACATTTTTTTTTTTTTTTTTTTCATTGTATAGGTAATGCACACAGACGTAATCGCGAAGGCTCCAAGATTATTTGGAAGCCATCGCTTGAAATCCATTTTTACTTCTTGAACTTTTGCAGCTGGGGTGCCGAAAGCTTCACCTTTCCTGGTATATTTCTAGCCAGCGCTTCTTCTTTGATGCTCTTGAGTAAATCCCTCTCTCGTGGACCGCAGCTTTTGTCCTTGGAAAACATGGTTAGCGCTGTCTTGGCAGCACGCCCACGCTTACCAGTGCCTGGCGTCAACTTAACACGAAACCTTAAAAACGTAAAATCAGTAATGAAAAATGTGTAACTCGCATAGTAAATTCAAGTTGTATTACTTGTAATTTTGCAGTGCCTGGTAAGGCGCTACAACGGGTATAACGAACAATAGTTCATCGCCTTCCAGTGGCTGTCCAGTAAGTGAATCTAACATGGCCACATCAGCACCAGATAGCATATCATCACCTTCATCCATATCACCGCCCAACTGGAACGGCTCCTCTTTCCTCTCATAATTCTTCTTTTCTTTGTGAGAAACTTGCGTTTTTATTTCCTCCTCTATCTTCTTATCGGCTGCACTTATTTTATCCTTGCCCGCTGACTTCAAGATCATCATGCGCAGCTCACGCTCTTCATCATCCTGGTCCTTGTATTTAGTTTTCATCTTCTTAAGCTTACCCCGCTGTCCGCGCTTTATTTGCGAAGCATTCTTTTCTTCTTTTTCAGCCGCATTTTGTTGCTGTTGCCTTAATTCCTGCTGCGTTTTTTTTCTCTTTCTCCTCTTTCCTTTTCTTGGCATTTTGCTGCTGCTTTTTCCGGGCCGGTGCAGCTGGTATAATGGTTGCTTCTTCGTCCTCATTTATTTCTACTTTGACTGAAGTTGCAAGCTTTTGGTGTACTACGTTAGGAGATGTGTCTGTCAGTGAGTCACTTCGTATGGTAATCCGCCCTGTATCGTGTTCAATTTTTACTTGCGTATCTGGGAAGTTAGTTAAGTTGTCCGCGTCATCCAACTCTTCATTCTCTTCATTTACTTTCTCCAGTTGTTGGATGCTCGGCCCCTGCTTGGCGGTTTCTTCTGCCTCGGCATCTTCATCTAGAGGGTCATCACCTTCTAGATCTATTTCCACATCGCCTTTTATTCCCAACTGATTCATTCGTTGTTCTTGCTCTTCCAATTCCTGCTGCTCTTCCTCAAAGGTGCGCAGCTTTCGCTCACCACGATGCCTTTCTACAAAACTATCTTCTAACTTGAATAGTAAGCTCAAGCCCATTATCAAGTGGCACGATGGTAAGAAGTTCTTTTTGCCGCGTATCATGAAACTACCCGTACCCAGGTATTCACCGGAAGGTGCTGTCTTGGTGACTTGATCGCTGCGCACCCAGTACGCATTTGTCACAACTTTGGCATCCCAAGCCACACTGTATGATATAGCCATGGTGCCTGCTTCTAGTAATGTCTTGGGTGGTATCTCTCCTGCGCTGGGGTTTCGTATAACCACACTCGAAGCTCCTTGAATTTCAGCATGTACATAGATGTCGGATGCTCGCATGTAACTGAAATCGGAATATGGAATACACATTTTAACAAACTCAGACGAATATTTATTAAAATAAAAATATATATTTACCGTTTCACAATCAATTCATTTTGTTGTGCGTCTCTACCGCCAATAACTAAGTAATTTTCAGAACTAATAAACCAATAAAACTTTTCGAACCAATATACTTTTCTGGCTTTTGATATCGTCGATATTATACGAACTTCTTTCAACGTTTGCTGCGTCTTCCTTTCAGCTGATTTTAAGGCTTTTTGTGACGCGTCAATAGTTTTTTGCTCCTTTTTCGCTGCGTAGCGCTTCAAGTCGTAATATTTTCGAGCATTAGCCCAAGCGGATAGTGCCAAATCTACATCTACAATTAGTGTTGGCAAACCATCGGAATCATCGTTATTAGTTTCGCAATCATCAGAATCTTCCTCAAAGTTTTTATATGGATCTGAGAGCCGTAAAGATATATGATTAGTTTCCAATTTCAGTTGCTTAATCACACCAGCCACAGGATCGTCATCAGCCTGAGCTTCCTTAACAACTTTATCTATATCGGACCATGACATTTGCGATGCAATTAATGACTGAACAGCTGATATTGCGTGGTCAACTAATTGTTGATTACATGTAATCAACTCAGCCTTCTGTTTATCCACTTCCTGCGACTTTGTAAGGTTTTCAAGACGTTTGGCATGATCTTTTTTAACATTTGAAAGTTTTTTTTAAAGCGTCGCGCTCCTGCTGTAATGTTTTCAAGTCTATTTTCTGCCCCTCCATCGTAGAGTAAAACTCATCCACAGCTAACATGAAAGTGTCAAACTCAGATACTGGTTGACCTTCAAACTGTACGAACAAAAACGGATGATATTCAATATTTTGGTAAAAGGCCTCTTTCGATTCGCTACCGTCAGTTGCAGGTTTCTCTTCACGTTTTTGAATAATATAACCCTTTGGGACAGAAGAGCGTCCTTGTACAAAAATCTCGTTGGCTTCCTAAAAAGAAGTTAGTTTAAACATTGGTTTATGTGCAAAACATGTTCGAAAAGTTACTTGAATTGCTTGCATAAGAGTAGGTAAATCAGTCTCTATATTGAAATTTCGTGTATTTATTGGATTCCCTCCTCTTTTCTTTTGCTTCTTTGATTTTTTGCCGGCCTTGCTTTCACCTTGCTGATTCTCTATTTCGGCGGGGACATTATCCTCTTTTTTCTCACCTTCAGATGGACTCTCCTTCTTCTCAAGCACACAATTTTCCAGTTTGTATTTATGCAGCACATGATCGATGACAGCCGGTCCAAAATCTACTTTTGGCATCAGCAAACGTCTTAAATTCTCGCCCGGGTTTGCGCTAGAAATTAAGTTACGAATATCTTTTTCGGATAAATCGTTAGCTTGTTCCTTCGCTCGATTTGATGGATATTTTTCACGAACAGCAAATCGTACTTCTTCACCTTCATAGTGAGGCCTCAATATATACAAAATTGTCAGCTCATGGTCGGTGAGGATGATGTTACCACGATCGTATAATTCGACTATAACGTGATACGCTGCTTCACCGGTACCAAATTGCAAATCAATTATGCGATCCATGCCAAGTTGTTGCAACTTTTCTAAACGTTTGTTCTTGAGATGCTTTCTCAGCTTCATGCTGAAGCCTGAGGGCGCCATGTTTTTGGGCCATTCGAAGACAGTTGTATGGAAGCGAATACCAGACTCAATTAAAAGCACCGTTTTTGCTTCCCCTCCTTGGAATCGAATCAAATAGGTTTTGTTGTCAATGTCATATATTTGATTTACACGATGTCCGACCAAACTACAATTTTTCAATTATTTTTATAATGTTACACTACCTTATTTAAAAACTTACCGCTGCAATTCCGAGACACCACAAACGATGTCGTAAGTGTTAAAGCGTGTTTTCATTATTCCAATGTTTTTATTTTACGATAAAATTAATTTTTGACTCGAAAAAAACATCTAAAATCCTTGCAAACTGCAGCAGCTGACACGCAGTTAGATAGCGATGGGTTGAATTATCGGTACCCAATACTTGAAAAAAATTTCGGTACCCAATTCTTCCTTTTCGGTACCCGATACCGAATCGATACATCAAATTTTCGCCAAAATACGTATACAGAAGAAATGAAATAAGATCGTGAAAATTTATTAAGCTTTAGACAAACCGCCATTCCGATTTTTTATGGCATAACTGCCATATAACCTATACGGAAAATGTATAATATACATATATATATATATTATGTATACAATTATAATTTTACTCGGCATTAAAGCCCCTATGAGTCCACACATTCGCTATTTCTAGGCGAGGATCCCCTGAATTGCTTCTAAGCGAAGCGCACATTAGAGGTTTGACACCCCCTAAACCGCCTTCCAAAGCTTTGCACATACACACACGAACCCACACACAGTGCCTTGCTACGGGAGCTGATTTTGTCAAGAGGGAGCGAGAAAACTGTTGTCTGAGCAAACCTTTTATTATTGAATCATGCAACATATACACAACCAAAATCAATTAAAACTAAAGTATCAATTTTTCAAATACAATATTCGGTTTGCTCTAAAAACCTTAAAATTTGTTTTTCCTTTCTTAAAAAAAGTATTGGGAGATTTTTGGTTGCATTTTAGGGCCAGCTTAGTAGAAAATTTTTTTTTCCGCGGCAACACTAACTCTCATAATCAGCTGTTAAGAAGAAGCAGGCGCAATAAACTTGAAAATAATTTGATTCCCCCGTTTATTGAGATAAACAAAGCCTCCCCCAATAGGAAAAATATATGTATGTAAGTGAAAGTGTAAAAGTTTGTTAATGAAATCGTCAGCAATAATTTAATGTCGATGTTTAAAGCACGGTAGGTAGTAACCTATTTAACAGACTAAAACATAACTACTTATATTCGGTATTACTCATTCTTTAAAAGCGTTAAGGAGTTTGAGGAAGCGCTAGACGAGGACGAAATTGATATTGATTCACTTCGTAAGCTTTGTTTTCATGGTAATAGAAAATTCTTAATTAAAATGCAGTCCAATAAACCCAAATTTGTGTTTACTTTCAAGGCATCCCAGACGTAGGTAGCTTCAGAGCAATATGTTGGAAATTCCTTCTTGGTTACCTTGGATCCCAGCCGGCTACTTGGACGGAAACTCTTAGCAAGAAACGCACATTGTATCGACAATTCATAGAAGAACTAGTTCTCCCGCCGGGATTAAATTGTGATTCTAACGACAATGAAAATAATTCTGGGCTTAGTGATCATCCATTAAGTGAAGGGCCAGAAAGTGCTTGGAATACATTCTTCCAAGACAATGAATTCTTGCTACAAATTGACAAAGATGTTCGGCGCTTGTGTCCAGACATATCATTCTTTCAACAGGCAACTGAATATCCTTGCGACATAGTGGTACACAGCAAAGGAGAAAGAAGACTGCACCAACGGGTAGTGCCCACTGTGTTGAGCTCAGCAAATGTAGAACGCAAAGGGTTAGGAATGACAAAGGTAAGTTGTGTCATCTAACTTGACCAAGTTTAAGATATCTTAATATAAAAACTGGTATGTTCATATACATACTTATGTTTTCTTCTTTCAATGCGTGCTGAAGTAGCAGGTAAACTGCAATCAGTCAATTGTAGTATCTATTCATATAGCCCTAACATTAGTCAATTTGTATACGTACATATATATATATATATAGATAAATCTCATAACGAAGCGTTCCAATGAAAACTACGCGGCAATGGAAGAAGGACAAGAAGCACACTGGGAAGTAGTGCAACGCATACTCTTCCTTTATGCTAAGTTAAACCCCGGGCAAGGATATGTTCAAGGCATGAATGAGATTGTAGGTCCAATATATTATATTATGGCCTCTGATCCCGATCTGGAATACAGAAGTATGTTAAATTTGTTTTTCAACTTTTATAAACTAAGCAAATATATGCATACATATATATGTATTATGTTTGTATTAATACCTAGAACACGCGGAGGCTGACTGCTTTTTCTGCTTCACCGCATTAATGAGCGAAATTCGTGACTTTTTCATTAAAACACTCGATGATTCGGAAGGTGGTATTAAATTTATGATGGCGAAATTGGCTAAGATGTTGAAAGATAAAGATCCTGAAGTGTATTTTAAATTAAAAGAGCAAGAACTACATCCGCAATACTACAGTTTTAGGTAAAATAGTACACTTAATTTAAATAATGATAACAATTATGTATTTTACATATATTTTACAACATATTTTAGGTGGATAACTCTACTGCTATCACAAGAGTTCCCACTTCCAGACGTGGTTCGCATATGGGATTCTGTTTTTGCAGATGAGCACCGATTCGAATTTTTGATAAGAATATGCTGTGCAATGATTTTGTAAGTTCTAAACCCTTTGACTTGACTTGTCTAATTTTAAATGCATACTCCCCTAACCACTTCATCATAAAAATTACATTTTGTATTTCCCATTTCAGAATTCAAAGAGAAGTAATTCTCCAGAACGACTTTGCATCAAACGTTAAACTGCTACAAAACTATCCACCTATTGATATTAATGTAGTCCTGTCGCATGCGGTTTCGTTGCAAGGATAGCCGTTTCCATTAATTCTTCAAATAAGAATGTACACCCCAGCCAATTTTTATACTCTCTTATAAAGATCAATATTTAGAGTTAATACAAAAATTAATTTTTTTATCCTCTAAGTATTAATTAAAATTTTTTTTACGCAAGTAAACAAAAGTATTGTCTTTTGTATGTATCTGCAAACATATTCGAATATGTAATTTGCTCGAAATGTTCTATCTTCTAATAAAATATTTGTATTGCATATTCCAAAAATGCTCTAGTTATTTTGGGCTATTCTGGATGGCTGTTCGCCCCACATAGACCAATAGGTCCCTAGTGATGCTAGATGGTGATAGAGGTTCAGTTAAGTATATTCGAAGTATACATCATTTAGGATGTCAACGCTTTTTGAGCGTATGAGCGTATAGCCGTAATCGCTGCTTGACTATCTACGTATATGTTAAATTTAGAGTTATTTTCAGCCATTCAGTAGGCTTGCTCAGCGGCTTTTCTCAGTGCGAAAACCTCTGCTTGAAATATACTGCAGTGATCCGGCAGCTTGATGGCCGGCGAACATTAAGTTCTGAACAGTACACTCCCGCTCCTACTCCCATATTCATTTTTTAGCCGTCTGTGAAGATGTTGAATGTCTTCCGGCTAGGCTTCATGCCTCTACGCCATCCGGTTTCTTCGATAGTAACCCGGAACTCCTTATCCCAGTTGTAGCAAGGTACCATGTAGTCCGTGGTAGCTACGTGAGCAATCGAAACGCACCCACCAGGATCATGGGCAACTCCTGCAGCTCGCCAGACATAACAATCGTCAGCGCTGATATGATAGACAGCATATCATGGCGACCTATGCTGACCTTAGCATCAGACCATCTGCCCATGATAGATAGATTGATAGTTGGTTGGGTAAGGCACTGCGACCGGTGGGTCAATTGTGCCCCTAGCTCATCACAACTCCTCAACCAGCCCCAGAGTGTCTAAAAACTTCATAATAGACCCCGGGGACAGTGAGTGCATGTGCTCCTCTCTTGGCCAGACGTGCCCTATGCTCCTATACCTCCTGCGCGCAACTGTCTCACACCCAACAGGAATGTGCAGGGGAGCTTCCCTGGCGGCATCGTAGAAGCGACACAGGTCGCTGGACCAGATTCCTAGTTTGTACATGTGCCCTCTTAGCCTACAGTGGCCGGTCAAAAATCCTGTATTAACCCTCAGTTTATCCTTTGGAAAATTCATGTGTAGCCTGTATCTTGTCAGATTGTAACCTCCTAATAAGCTTTTCGCCTGACGTTGACCCATGGTGTCACGCCAATGCAGTTCCCTCAGTTTGAAATTGTCCCTTCTGAGCATATCCTTTATGGTACTGGGTCCCACTGCCAGAAAGGACTCAGGTCCTATCGGGGTCGAGGAGGCGGCTAATCTGGCCAGGTGATCAGCCTCTTCATTTCCTGCAACCCCCATGCGCCCAGGTACCCACATTAGTTGGTCTGCCCATAGTCATCTCGATCGATAAACCTGTCGACTTTGATTCCGCGGAAAACCGAACCTACATATATCAACTTAACTAAAGCTGATTGGAAAGGCTTCGCGGAATTTGCTGCCCTCCCCACACCAACAGACGTTCACTTGGACTTGCGTAATATCCGCAAGATTGTCACTGCTGCTGCAGCTCGCTTCGTACCAGAAGGATGTATGACGGACCCCGTCCGAACTTTCCTGCTGAAGCGGCTGTTCTAGCCGATGAGTGTGACAAACTTCGGCAGGCCGATCCCGGAAATCCCCGCATCAGGGATCTCAATGCGGAGATTCGGCAGCTTGTGAACGTACACAAGCGGAAGAAGTGGGAAGAGCATCAAAAGACTTGCAACTTCGCCTCTGGTGTGAGCACGCTTTGGTCAACCGTGAGCGCGTGTCCAATCCGAAAAAGCGCGACGAGAGAGTCGAAATATCTTTCGGCAAACGCAAAAAAGCTTTGGAATTTGTTAGGTACATATCGCTGCAGCATGAGCCGGGCACGAAAGGAGACTATCGAACGTAACACTTAGGGCCTAGACACCAACTTGTGCTTGAAGTACAAAATGAGCCTATTTAAAGGGCCTTAGTCCTTAATTAGAGCGAGTTTAAACACGCTTCTACAAATATTTTTTCTGGCACAAAACAACAAAATACTGGGGACTGTACCCCAACTTTATCCATTCACTAGAAAATATTACGAACAGACATATTAAACAAAAAATTTGCATTTGTTAATAGAAAAACAGTACGATCACAAATAAATTTTTGGAAAAAAAACTCAAACATCGCCCAGTCCTTACTCAGCTCGTCTTCGTCGCCTTAGTCATCGTGTCATCTTCGTCTACTTCTTGGGATTCAATTTTGGGGCTGTATCCTTACATATGGTTTGAGCAATAAACTCAATCAAAGTGCGAGTTGGTCGCCCGGCCATGCCTTTGCGAATGTATTCGAAGGCCTCACCGTCGGTCACCATAACGTTAGTAGCGTCCTGAATATAAAAAAGCACGCATTTGTTTAGGAACTTAGTTTACAAACTCTGAAAGCTCTTACAATATGCATCCATTGTCCACAAGGGACAAATTCTCGCAAAAACGCGGCCGCCTTGCACGGACGACCCCCGCGTCCGATTCCGTAGTTTTGCACATCGGTGGCATTACTGTTCGTCACTAGTTTGGTGTAGTAGTTCCACAATGGCAGGCGCCATACCCGGTCACCGGTGTGCATGCTGGCGTGTTTGATCTGCTGCCAAAGAATTTCCGAGTTAGTGAAAATGCCGCACGCAGCCTCATCCAGAGCTTGTCGCATCTGCCCCGAGGGTGTGCCTATGTCCACGATGAATTTGGGGCAGAAATTTTGGGCGTACAGAAGCGCATCGGCCAGCACCAGCACATCCTCGTGATCTGTACCCTGAATTTCGATAACCTTTCCATTCATGGCTTTTGTGCAGTCGCCGGGTCGGAAGGAGTTGCAGCCAATAACATTTTCGCACAACGGAATCAAACCCCGAATATTCACCTAGTTTTTCAAATGAAATCGTTTATTGATTTTTAAAACAGTATCTACCTAATCAATCACTGCTTACCGGTAAACGCAATCCGGCAATGGCCCTACAGGCAGCTACTACCACCGCCGCTCCTGTCATGTCGCCTCGCATATGGTATAATTCCTGCATCTGCTTCAAGCAAAGTCCACCACAATCGTAGGTAATACCTTGTCCCACCAGTACGATTGGTCGCTCTTCAGCTGAAGTACCATAGTAGCTCAGCTCCAAAAATATCGGCGGCTCACAAGAGGCCTTGCCCACCGACAAAAATGCATGCATTGATTGCGACTCTGCCCAGCCCTCAACCTTCACCTCCACATTCACACCCGACTTACATAGAACCTCGACAACGGTTTGTGCAAATGCTGTGGGCGTCAGCAAGTTCGAGGGCATTTCCTGTAACTGGCGCGTTAAATTTTGAGCGGCCGCCTTTTGCAGCCCAATACGCCAACCTTCAATGTCGCATATCTCATCCTTGTGCGTGTACAGGTCAATGGAAGGAATGGCAATACGGCGCTTAGACTCCTTCAATTCTTGATACGCCCATATACCAAGTGCAGCACCCTCTGCGGCTGACTCAGCGTGGCCACAATTTTCAACTTCAATGCGATCGGTGTCGAGATAAGCCAACTCCATGCACGCCTTTGCCACAGACCTTCGTATCGCCTCCTTTTGCTCATCGAGCACCTCATAGGAATTATACCCCAAACATTCCTTACCTAGTCCGACTACAGCCACAGCCGAGTAGTAGGGTATTTTCTCTGGCTCGACGGCGAACAGAATTCGTGCTTCGCCACGCATCGGCATGGGCCCCGACATGCGCAACACCTCCAACATACGGCCGGCCGTCTTTTGGACGTTGTAGCGCCAGGCAGCCGGTGTCAGAATACCCGTATCATTTTTGTCCTCCTCGTCGGCGTACACACCCAACACTAGTCCGCGCGAGGGCGGGTCGGCACATATCTCCGTTTGTTGAAGCTGCAACATTTGATTTAGCGCCGGCGAGACGTAAGAACGGAGCTGCGGCCGGAGGCACCGGCGAACTGTTTTCACAATAGTGCCGAACGAATTTGAGCGCAAAAGAGCAAACATTTTGATCCTCTTTATTTAGTATATGGAAGATACAAAATCTTACTAAATATAACAGCGAATTATTTTTATTTAAATTGATTTATAATATATATATGTATAATATTATTTTTGAGCAAGAAAATTTTATGTTAATAAATTTTACAAATAAATTTTCTCTATGTATAGTCGATTGGAAATATTTCTGATTATTAGTAAAGTTTTGCATTTGTTCAAAATCAAGTAAATGAAGATTCGAAGGCCTGTAAGGTATGCAAAAAAAATTGGAAGGACATTCCTACTCGAAAATAATTTCGAATTTCGTGAAATACCGTAGTACCGTAGTAGTATTTGCATATTCGGTGCATTTGTAAATTCACAACAACAAAATGCAAATGAAATCGAATCAAAAATAGTCATTCAAAAACTCATAAATCTACAAAATCCTATTTGCTGACCTAAATCGACAGGTCGCGACCTTTAAATGACCTTTAAGAAATCTATAAAAATAGGCAATAATATTTCTCATAAAAACGAATAAAACTACGGGGTAGGGTCTTGAAATTTCCAAAAAAAAAAGCATTTTCAATGGGCACCCTGGGCAAGTATCTTTAATTATTGATGAAAAGTTGATCTTAAAAATTTAGCGCCTCCAACAGGAAAAGTAATTCTGCAGAAACTAGTTTAGTTTACTCCATACCAAATAAATTATTCGCTAAACGTTTTTGGAAATATATTATGTCTATATTTTTATTTTATTTTTTAAAGTTTCTTTTACTAAAAATACAGAGAATGTTAGCTATTACATATATGAATATATTTTATTATCGATCAGTATTACTTTAAATATATATTGTAAATATGTATTTTCATGATTCCTCAAAAATATTTGCACGAAGAACAGTTTTTTTATTTCTACGAGTATCTATTAGAATTATTTAGGTTTATTTAGTTTCATTACATATTTAAAAAAAAAAAAAAAAGCATTTACATATTATATGGCAAATCTCAGCTTTTCCAAATACAAAAATTTATAACCACAGCGTTCGCAATACATAAATGAAGAATATTTGTATGTAATTTGTTTATGTATTTTGTTTTTTTTTTTTTAACAAGTATTTATTTATTAAGTACTACATACTCATACATGCATGCAGCAGTAAGTATGTAATGTATGTATGTAAGTATTTGCCAAATTTTTCTAGTTTTCTAATAAATACTGACGAGTAAATGGCAATTTTATAAATAGTTTAGTTAAATAAAATATTAATATGTATCCTTGAACTTACGCTACATAGTTTTCTTCTAATAATATTTAATAAATTTTATCTAAGTAAATAGTAAAATTGTTATTGTTCTTATAATGATTTCACAGTTATTTATTCATATTGAAAGGTACAGACATACATAAATATATATATGTACATAATTTAGTCTATAATTGATATTTATTTGTTTAGTAAAATAATCAATTGCAGATTGATCAAATATATGTATGTATGTACATTAGACCGTACCTGAAAACAAGTAATTTTTAAGCAAAAACCACAACCAACTTCAATTCTCATAAAAAAAATTTACGAGTACCGTTAATTTCTTTATGATTAAATTGATCGTATCTAAACCAAATTAGTATGGGACCACCTGTGAGACACTACCTTTCCGATGGAAATTATCGAAATCGGTTGACGTGGTCCAAAGTTATGCTGTTTTGACAATAAAAAAAAAAAAATAAAAACAAAAAATATTCCGACGAATTGATAACCGTCTCCTTTTTTGAAGTCGGAAAAAACACACGCATAATATTTTGATTATTTCAGCAAAACTATTTGATGCGACTCTTTTCATTGCCGAATGTACATACAGTCAGTCAAAAAAGTTTAGGTACAGCGAATTTCTTACAATACAGGCAACTATTTTTTAAATATTTTATTTTTGGATAATTTTTTATAAAAATATGGTTAATTCTACAACAAAAACCCCAAAAATCAAAGTTCGAAACCTTGAGCAAAATTAAAGAAAATTCTGCAAAATTTCATTCAAATACCTACTGTACTTTTTATTTACGCTCTCTAGAAAAAAGTTAAGTATGCTGTTTTTTAGCCCATTCAATTTTAGTATAATAAAGTGCAAGTATGATTTTTGGGAAATTTTTTTGTTGAAGGTGTCGCACATTTTTTCCATATAAAAAAATTATCAAACATTATTTTATATGGAGAAAATGAGCGACACTTCCAACAAAAAAACTGCTAAAAAATCAATGGTAAGTCCAAGCGACCTCACACTTGCACTTTATTATACTAAAACTGAATGGGCTAAAAAACAGCATACTCAACATTTTTCTAGAGAGCGTAGCAGGGATGAAAAATGGAAATTTCAGGTTGTACCTAATATCATAAAATAAATGTACCTAAATGAGACAGATTGTACCTAAAAAAATTTACATCATTCATTTGTAGTTTTTTTTATAAATTTTATTTAAAACATGAATACAAAGATGGATGTACTTTAAATATGATTAGGTTTTTTTTTTTAACTGAGCCTATATCTATAGACCATAGTCTAATGGGAATCGAAGAAGCGTTGTTTTTGTTTAATTTTTACTACTGAAAAATATTGGCGAAAAAGACAAAAAACACACTTTGCGAAGTATACTTCTTTATCCAGCTTTTTAAAAACAACAGGAAAAGTCTGCAAGAAAATAATCGAATTGCCGTAAGTAACTTCGAAAGCTTTTTAAATATATTTCCAGAAATCAAAAAGCGAATATGGGTCAAATAGCTATAGTCCTCATCTAAAGAAAATATGAAATTTGAAGACATCCCAGACACTGGACTGTATGTAGAGATGCAAAGGATGCATCGATGTTTTCAAAAAGTTTTGTATAAAGTTATGGTTTGTAGCGGATATGTGAATCTAGTTCTTTCGAGTTTAAAAAATATTTCAGGCTACATTTTATTTCGTGTAGTAAATGAGATATTAGAACATCGGTAAAACATCGATGTATCGTTTTTATAACCGATGTTTTTTGACGTCGATGTTTGTTGCGGGAGCGAGGTTGCATCCCTAGCTGTATGAGCGAATAAGGGCTGGTTTTCATTATATCGTATTTTGACAACAAAATTTTTTTTACATATTTTGACACAACTTTCTTTCCTTTATCCCTACTTTTACCGATGATATTATAGGCCAAAAACTTACAAATAGCCACTTTAGCAGCGCATGTACATGCCTGAAGGCCTATTATGATCTAAATCAATCAAAATACCATTTTTTAGTCTCATTTGACAATTTGTTTGCCATTGAATTTGACTTAGTGAAAATAAGCGTTAAAATTAATAGAAAAAAAATTACGAATTTGAGGATAGCTAAGTAAAGTGTTAATGTGTTAAGTAGCTGCTCTAAATGCAATGTAAGATGTTTAAGATAATACATAATATGACTTCTTTAAATTCTTCCTTTTGACCAATTTTCTTTAGAATTGATTATTCTTCAGGATGAAAGCGAAGCTTCTCCCGTGCCTACAAGTAAATATAGCACGGTAAAGGAAAAGGAAAAAAACAATAAAAATTCATCTGATCAAAAGATGACTGTACCTAAAATCTACTGGCTGTACCTAATGTACCTTTAAGTCATCAAACGTCGGAAAAAGGTACAATTGTACCTACTTTTTCATGCCTGGAGCGTAGATGAAAAGTGCAATATTTGAATGAAAGTTTGCCGAATTTTCTTTAATTTTGCACAAAGTTTGGAGATCTGATTTTTGTTTTTTTTGTTGTTGTAGAATTAACCATATTTTTATAAAAAAAAATATCGAAAAATAAAATATTTAAAAATTAGTTGCCCATATTGTAAAAAATTCGCTGTACCTAAACTTTATTGACTGACTGTAGATAAATATGTATGCAGCGGCCATCGAAAAATGTAAAAAAGGCGAACCTTAGGATCGGCAAAAAACATTTATCGATATTGCCTTGCAAAAATACTTAAGGACGCCAGGCTTGCAGGGTCTAACTTTTTTTGTTTGTTTGCTTGTGGGTGGTACGGTCTAATATACATTCATAAGTACATATATGTAGATATGCCTATGTAGTCGTATGTAGTATTATATGGAAATTATCTAATGAGCATTCAATCACAACAAACAGATTGCATGTGAGGAGTACACAATTGCAAATTTTTAAGTCTCGAACAGATTTACTAAAGCTAAATCAAAGTAAATTCTTTTGATGAACAATTCTCAAGTATTTTAAGTTGCGATATTTCAAAATGAATAACTCGTTAATTTTCTAGTATTTAGAAGTCAATGTAAATATGTAAGTATTTTATATGTATGTAGAAAGAGTAAAGCTTGTAGGTTTCGAATCAATAGATTATTTAAATGGATCCAATAGTTTCATCATATCATATCTTATCTCTGATACGTTTAATTTCTTAACAAAAAAAAAAAAGTTTTACATTTTGCACATGCATGCATAGAAATTGTATAATTTTTAGGGCTCGTAATGCTCACTCATGAGCTGCGCGTGAGCTAGGTAAGACAATGAGCAGCGATTTAACTCACGAGTGAGTAACAAAATAAATTGAGCAATCCTACTCTCAGTTCGGAGCGGCAAACATTTGGGATTAAGGAAAACAACAAAAGTTTATCAAGCAGGCAAAGTGTACGGTGGAGGTGAAGTAAGGCTGTATTTTTCTTATTTTTCTTTTTTTTTTTTGAATAGGTACGCTTAGTTTCTAAGATACTTGCAGCAGCTTATATTAATATACGTACATCATTTGTCGATATGTTAAGGTTTTTGTAATACCTTATAGAAAAATCTGTTATCGGTTAAAAATGGCGTACATTTGTATTAGTTACACTAATATGTATTTTTCTTTTTTTTTTTTAGTTCAAATGTGTCTTTTTAATTGTACTTTTGAGTTTAAAGTTAAAACTTTAACCCCCAGTTTCGCCAATCCAAACTTATTATATATATTACATATTAAATTTTAACAGGGCTGATAAATTTGAAATTGATTGG